CCTGTCACTCTGCTCCACCTGTTTCCCTCTCACTCTGTTCCACCTGTTTCCTCTGCTCTACCTTTTTCCTCTCACTCTGCTCCACCTGTTTCCTCTCACTCTGCTCCACCTGTTTCCTCTCAGTCTGCTCCACCTGTTTCCTCTCACTCTGCTCCACCTGTTTCCTCTCACTCTGCTCCACCTGTTTCCTCTCACTCTGCTCCACCTGTCACTTTGCTCTACCTGTCACTCTGCTCCACCTGTTTCCTCTCACTCTGTTCCACCTGTTTCCTCTGCTCTACCTTTTTCCTCTCACTCTGCTCCACCTGTTTCCTCTCACTCTGCTCCACCTGTTTCCTCTCAGTCTGCTCCACCTCTCACTCTGCTCCACCTCTCACTCTGCTCCACCTGTTTCCTCTGCTCCACCTGTTTCCTCTCACTCTGCTCCACCTCTCACTCTGCTCCACCTGTTTCCTCTCACTCTGCTCCACCTGTTTCCTCTCTTCCGGTCCACCTGTCACTCTGCTCCACCTGTTTCCTCTCACTCTGCTCCACCTGTTTCCTCTCACTCTGCTCTACCTGTTTCCTCTCACTCTGCTCTACCTGTTTCCTCCTCTCCTCTGATCCACCTGTTTCCTCTCTCACTCTGCTCTACCTGTTTTCCTCTCATTCTGCTCTCACCTGTTTCCTCCTCTTCTCTGCTCCACCTCTCACTCTGCTCCACGTTTCCTCTGCTCCACCTGTTTCCTCTCTCCTTCGGTCCACCTCTCCCTCTGCTCCACCTGTTTCTTTTCCCTGTCCACCTCTCACTCTGCTCCACCTGTTTCCTCTCCCTCTGTCTACCTCTCCCTCTGCTCCACTGTTTCTTTTCCCTGTCCACCTCTCACTCTGCTCCACCTGTTTCCTCTCCCTCTGTCTACCTCTCCCTCTGCTCCACCTGTTTTCCTCTCTCCTCTGTCTACCTCTCACTCTGCTCCACCTGTCCCAGGAAAGCGTGGGGTGCTGAAGCGGCCGTGGTCCGAAGCGGAGCGCGTGGCGGTGGAGACGCACCTGAAGAGGAACCTGATGGAGCTGCGGGTCCCGGCCAAGGCGGACTGCGAGCGCTGCCTGGAGCTCTGCCCCCTGCTGGTCAGCAACCAGCGCGACTGGAGGTCCATCAAGTTCTACGTCCACAACCGCATCCAGCTGCTGAAGAAGCAGGGGCGGAGGGAGAGCGCCGGCCTCTGAAACCTCCACCCCATGTACAGACCAGCAGAGAGAGGGGGGAGGAGACACTGAACCCCACCCTCATGTTCAGACCGCAGAGAGAGGGGGGGGAGACACTGAACCCCACCCTCATATTCAGACCAGCAGAGAGAGGGGGGAGGAGACACTGAACCCCACCCTCATGTACAGACCAGCAGAGGGAGGGGAAGGAGACACTGAACCCCACCCTCATGTTCAGACCAGCAGAGAGAGGGTGGGAGGAGACACTGACCCCCACCCTCATGTACAGACCAGCAGAGGGAGGACTTCCTGTTGGGGTCTCAGTGATGGATCAGATGGGTGTAACCTGTGAATATGAGTCCAGTGAATGCGTCTTAGAGATTATTTTTGTTGTCGTCCCGCTGACTTCACACTGTGTGGGACGGTGCAGCAGCAGCAGGTGGAGGAGCTCGGACCAAGAACTTTTTGGAGCTTCCTTCATCATTTGTTCAAAACTCTCAACCATCTTCCTCGTGCTGCAGGAGTTTATTGTTGCATGTGTGTTGATGGTGCAGATCTGTGCACGGGGTCTACGGAGGCCAACGGTGCAAACGCGCTACAGCGGCTCAGAACACTTCCATCACGGGAAACACTGCAGCTTCAGAAAGATGCACATAATAAACACTAATGTTCCAAAGCACATGCACATTGTTGTTTCTTCATTTGGCATGTGTTTTGGCACATTTGTCTTTTTTGATTTGCAGTGTTTCTCCTATTGTCCATGTTTCGGGACGTTGTTGGGCGTTTGCACCTGTCGGCCAGTTCAAAAAAAGATGCGGCTACATTAATATTATATATATTTTGTTATATTGTTATATTCCAGTGGGGCAGCGCAGGATACTTTTTGACACATTTCCAGTAACTCCAGGAGTGGAGTGCACCAGCTGGGCGTAAAAAAGTAGGTCTTAACTCTTAACGTCCGGCTTAGCTACGTCCGACTTATTTGAATTTACACCGAGTGCACCAGGCCTGACTAGTCACGGTCGTAGCTGGCCTCGTCTTAAAATGCGCGTCCACGTCAATACACGCAAAACAGTAATTGTTGCCAAGCAACACACGGTCTACATAATTTAACACTCAACTTCTCCATTCAAAGCAGCCTGTTAGCGTAAAATCTGAGCACGATCAGCACCTGCAAGGTTGGGGAGAAAACAGCGTTTCTGTCTGATCCGTGCTGTAGTTGAGGGGAGATCTCCTCGATTAATTCATAAAGGGCTTGTCTGCAGAAACGAAACCTCTATCAGCTCACTCTCTGAATAGATGTCCAGTGGGTTTGTTCGATCACGGACGACTCTCTCGTCTTAAGGCCCTTTCGTTGTTAAACATGTAAACAAGACGCAACCGCCATCGTTAATTTCCTTCTTGCCTGTTTTACGTTACTATGGATACTAGTCTGTCTTTCCGATTTACGCCTGCTCCACACTAGGCGTAAAAGTTGCATGCAACGCATACAGGGCTTAGGTCTAAGTGGTGCACTAGTCATAACTTTAGTTTGGTCTTAACCTTCGGTTCTACTACTCGGACGTAGAGTTACGCCCAGCTGGTGCACTCCACTCCAGAGGCTTTAGAAGTCCAAATTCTAATTGAGGATTTATTATAAGGAGACAAAAACAATGGAGAGATCATTGATGCAGCTCTCCGTGCATCAGTTCACACACTGCATACACTCTGTGTGTGTGTGTCCACGTGTAAATGTTGTTTTTATATTGACTGACATTGTTTTATTGCCCACAGTGTTGTTGGACCATGATGCACCTGTGATGCATTCTGTACGGATGCCCGCTGACCTGTGTTTACTGCATATCAGAGTTTCATCTATATTTCAGATGATTTGACCCATAGTGTAAATACTTCATATGAAGAGTATTAGTGACGGCAGAGCAGTGTTGTTGATGGTGTACATACTGTAAATACTACCTCTACTTATTAAAGTGTACCACATTATGACATGTTTTTTTTTTTAAAGAGCAGGGTTTCCCACACAAGACTATACTTGGGCGGGCCGCCAGGTATATTAACGGCCGCCCAAGTATATTTCGCGACCCATTTAGTTTTTTTTTGGTTTTTTTTATTAAATCTTTTTTTTATATAATTTTTTTTTATTCGTCCGTGACCACGACGCCATCTGCGATCGATTAACTTGTAGACAATGATCCCTCGCTCCCTTGCTCTGATCTCGCCTCCTTCTGGCCTGTTAAGTGGCCTGCCTCACACAGGGTGACTGGCTGTCCACATGATGTGGCCTGCTGACATGGCCACTGTCATACAGATCATAAATCAAAGCCCTTGATTGGTCTCTGTGTGTCATTCAAGCTCGGGATAACCTCAGCTCAGGTGAGGTAAAGGACTCTCTGAGTGTTTAGATAGTTAACTTAGTCTAAGTTCTCAGTGGGTCTCAAACGGTGTGGTCACCATTTTGTAAACACATATTTCCATTTGAGAGGGTAGTGATTGGTCTAATGGATAGTGAGGTGGGCTGAAGATCGGAAGGCTGTGAGTTCAAATCCCGCCAGGAACACCAGCACTAGTGTGCCCTTGAGTAAGGCACTTAGCCCTTAGTTACTCCAGGGAGAATGTCCCTGTAATCGGTCTTATAAGTCGCTTGGATAAAAGCGTCAGTGAAATGTAATGTGATTAGTAAATATGCATGAATAAATAAATAAAAGTTAACTAGGTGAAAAAAGGTAAGATACACTTTTAAAACTTGTTGAGAGAAAAACTAGTCTTTGCTGCTGCCTCAAGAGGAGCAGGGGGAGAGGGGGGAGAGGAGGGAGACAGGAAGAGGCTGATTCAGGAGCACAGACACACTCACAACTATAAATGAACCAAAACTAAATTAATAAACAAGTTTCAGTGTTTTTTTCATATTGGAAATGGTATGTTTTGGTTATGGCCTTGATTTTATGATTATTGAAATGTATACAGTTCTGTTAAATATAGGTGTTTCCATAGATCTAGTCTCTTTATTTTCCCCTCAAATGCACCAGATTGATGCATTTAACTCCAAATAAAATCTTACCGGGGGGGCATGCCCCTGGACCCCCCTAGAGGATTTGAGGTCGACCCCCACTAAAAATCACATGGATAGGTTCCTAAATACATTAATAAATACATTTATTTTTTTTAAATAGTAACCCATTTCCATATGTTCATGTTGGGTAGTAGATTTAAACTATAGGGCTATCATATGGACCCTGCCTGTACCTGTACCTGTACCTGTTCGCTCTGCCATCGCGTGAAGGGTCTGCTAACAAGCGACCAACAGAAAGGTTAATGTTGTTGCACGTCACCTCAACCCCCCCTGCTACCACCACCCCCCAAAGTATATTTCAGATCTGTGGGAAACACTGGCAGTTAATGGACCAGCACCAGAGGCATTCCCATACACACAGGCGTTGGAGCTGTTCTTCATGAAATCCCAGAAGGATGAAGTGCTCTGACAAACAGTGCCATCTTGCGCAAAATGATTATACCGGAATGAAAAGTCAATAAATAATGTTGTTAAAACTTTTTTTTTTTTTTTTTTTTTCGCGCCCCCCCCCCCTCCTTGCCACCACCGCCCACCACAGCCCAAAGTATATTTCATATCTGTGGGAAACACTGAAGAGTGAAACAGAGAACTGGAATGAACACATGCAGACTGAGTTTATTCACACAAATATTAAAAGATATTCATAACAGTGTTTAATATCACAAATTGGGATCAATAAAGTACTATCTTATCTTATGAGCAGGTACATGCAGATGGACCAAACTATGGAGTGTTAATTGAACAACATGTTTCGCTGAAGAGGAATGTAGATCCCAAATGTCAGTTTCTCTTTAAGCTACTTATTTTCTACTTACTACAGTTCAACAAAAGCACAATATTCTTCATTATTATTAATCAAAACATGAAATGTAGTTCGCTCTGAGTGCAGCTACAGCACCTCAACCACACTCCCTAACCTATAAAGCTTCTCCATCGTGTCCGGCTTCAGTTTCACAGACCGCCTTAGACTCAGTGTTGCCCCCCCCCTGCTCAGCCTCCACCTTCCTCTGTAATAACTCCATGGGTGCCGCGTCGCCCTTCCCGGGGTTGAACAGGGAACAGCGGCACGGTGAAAGCTGCGGTGAGGCTGCAGATGAGGCTCTGTTTCTCCACGTTATAGAAGGAGAGCTCCCCCCGTCAAAGTCCAGAAACACCCCGGGCTGCGGCCCGGGGGGGGCAGCAGTGCCACCGAAGACTGTGCTAAGCTGTAGGCTGGTGGGGGAGGAGGATAGGAACCAGAACCGGTTGGAGGAGGATGGAGTGAGGTGCGAGTCTGCCCGGATGGAGGCTGTAGTCACTCCCACCCACCAGAACTTCTTCAGCCCTGCCTTTAAATTCCCAGAGACACCTCCCAGTAGTGCCGTCCAGAGGAGAGGGAGGGTGTCCCGGTGATGGCGGTGAGACAGGTCACCTGATCTCCATCGGGGAAATTAATCGGCAGGTCTCTGATTTTATTTTCCGCAATTTTGAGGTACTTATTTCATTAGGTTCTGGTTTCACATTAACTGTGGGAAATGGAAAGCAGCGTCAGTGTGACTCGGTGTGTTCCTAATTTTTTTATTAAGAGGCCCTATTATCTCTTTGTGGTGTTCCTCCTCCTGTAGGTTGTTCTATAGGTGTTGTGCATGTACAATTTAAGGGGCATCTAAGGGAGGGACATCTCTATGTGTGGTTGATTAATCACAACAGAACCGGCCAGCTAACCAATCACAACAGACTGGGCTCTAGTTTCAGAAAATAATTGTGGCATTATTTAATCAAACCTTTAAAGGGTTTAAAGGTGAGGATCATATCGGTTACGATCAGGACTTTTGTTAAATGATTTTAAAGCACAGAGGGTAAACACAGAGATAATTATTATAATAATAACATTAATACATTGTGAAGTCCTTACCGTAGCTCTGTCGGGCTGTTGATATCTGTGTTGGCTCGATCTTGCCTGTAACACAATATCATTGTCATCAATACAGCCGAATAATATATCTTTTTGTCTGTTGTAATTTATTCATACCTTTTGGTAGAAGTTTCTGATTCTCTGGGGAATAAAGCACAAACAAGTGTCAATCTGTGGCACATACTCAAGATACAACCAACACACTACATTTAATTTAATTAACATTTCATGAACACACCAAATGTGTGTAAGTGAAATAAAAAATAATAATAATGTGTTCAATGCTTCTTACCCTCAACGGGCAATTTGGCTTTCTTTCCTGAAACACAGATCATTTTCAGCATATCATTTTTATATATATATATAACATAACAATGATGCGTTAAAAAGGTACCATAAAGAGGTACCTCTCTTTTTCTATAGAGCAGAAATGCAGCTGCCAGCAGCACTGCGGAGAGGAGGAGACCGAATGCTGCCCACCCTGCGGCTGCCCCCCCTCCGACCCTGAAACACAGGAGATGTACTGGGATTTAAATATTGTTCTGCAGATATTAAAAACCTGTCTGTGAAGTTTAAATTGTATATGGTCATATGAGCAGTTGAAAATGCAAATGTGAGTATTGCATTCAAATTTGACCTCCTGTAATATCCCTCCCTGTGCATTTTTCTGCTGCATTCATTGAAGCCCCCTAGAGACCCCCTTGTTCTCACCCCTGAGGGGGCTCCTGCAGCTTCAGCCGGACTTCCTGCTCCTCACCCAGCAGGACACCCGGGTGGAGGCGGGCAGCAGGATCCAGCTGTGCACCGACACCAGGCCGGAGGGGGCGGTGCTGTACTGCAGGCTCTGCGGGGTGAGGGTCTTCAGGGGGTCGGCCCAGCGCAGGCTTGGGCGGGGAGACCAACCCTCGGACTCACAGCTCAGGTTCACCTGAACACCCGTTATCCACACTGCGGACAGCAGAGGGGGGGTCCCGGTGACTATAGGAGGAAGAGCAGAGGATTAGAGGTCTGCAGGCTCTGCTGTCTCCTCCACCTGCCCGCACTCACCTGTCACCACCAGGCTGACGGTGGCTGTGTCGTACTCCTTGTCGCTGCTGACGTAGCAGCTGTAGTCTCCTGCGTCCTGCAGCGTGGCGTTTGCCAGCTTCAGGCTCACGTCCCCCTCCCGCAGCCCGCTGGACGTTGCGTCCTTCAGGCCGAGTGACACCCTGCCGGCGTACGCAGCGTCCTGCGAGCCGTGCTCCAGATGGGCCCGCTGGTACAGCAGCACCGGGGAGTCGAAGCTTCCTCGCGGGAGGAACCAGCGCACCTCCAGCTGCTCAGCGCTCTGGGGGGGGGAGAGCCAACAGGGGAGGGTGGCTGTGTGTCCAAGCTGCACCGAGACCGGAGACCCCCCCCCTGCATGCTGTTGGACACTGACACATAGGAAAACACAGCACACAGGTTCATCACATGTTTGACTAACACCATTTAACACCATAACACCTGCTTTCAACATGTTAACCATCAACACATCTGCAGAATATACGATATTGTTGTGTGCATCACTTTATAGCTTTATAAATCTGTGCAAACTGTGGAATCCCCCGTAGAAATCCATAAAATCTCACCTAAAATTCCCCAACTTATTTATATTTCTATTACTAGAAAAACTAAAAAAAAGGTAGTGCTAAATATGTTCAATATTTGAAGGAAATATAAATACTCTAAGCTAGTAGGCTACTTAGCTACTTCCAGTTATGTAAAGTAACGCAAGTAGGCCTACATTTTGAGGGACTTTTACTTTACTGTTGAAGTATTTTAAATGTGTTGCCACTTTTTACTCCCACACCACTATTCAGAGGTAAATAGTGTACTTTGACCCCACTACATTATTTAATACCGCAAGTTACTTTGCAGATTTTGAATCATGTTGTGAAATATATCAACACTTAAATAAGACTTTAGTTACACCTAAAGTGAAATCACAAGCTACCATGCAGCTACAAATTAAAATTAGCTGCACCATTACATACACATTAAAGCATAAATAATTATAATCAAAACCCTTTTTACTTAAGTACAATATCTGAGTACTTCTACACCATGCTACTACTTCATACAAACGTACCAGGAGCAGCTCGGCAGCAGAACACACCACACCCCACCATCAGCATCAGAGCACCTGTGAAACACAAACCTACACTCACTTTACACATTTACATAACAGAACAGACTTGCTCATGGTAATAATAATAATTATTATTATTATTATATATTATTATATATTATGTTCTGCTCTCGCTCATTGAACCTACCCATCGTGCTGCTTCAGAGACAAAGACCGTCAAACCGCGCAAACTGTAGTCCGTGAAGACTGCAGAGAAGAATACAGAGTTAAATAAGCTGCAGAGATAAAGATTTCGTTTAAAAAAATGGATTAGAGACAAGACAAAGAGATAGAGATTGAAGTCAGTTTCGCCGTGATTTGTCCCCCCACGTTTTGCCCCTCTCTTACTTTCACTTTCAATTTCGTCAGGGAACATCTCACATTTCAAACAGTAGGCAACACATCACTCCCAGAAATGGTCATTGGAGGATTCACTTTAATATGAAAACACGAGCACAGAACATATATTCAGTGCTAAGCTAACCCGTGTATTTACTCACCTGTACATACAGTATACTCACCTGTATAAACTCACCTGTGTATACTCGTTACCTGTGTATACTCAACTAACTGTATATACTCACCTGTGTTGTATATAGTGTACTCACCTGTATATACTCACCTGTACATATACTGAAAAGATACAGAATAGGCCTATATACTGTGTACACCTGCATACTTGTACAGTTTCTACTCACCATACAGACAGACAGACAGACAGACATATGACCCTGACAAAGCACTCTAATTTCCTCTGTAATTTATTGTTCCTGTTTATATGCTGTTGTCCTATTAAAGTGTTGGGAAATAATAAAGTAATAACACTATATTTTAAATTAACCTTAAAACAGTAAACATGTTATTGGAGCTTTTCATTGTATTTAATTAAATGAATGCAGTCTGTGGTTAAACCAAACACGGAGAGTCAATAGGCTTGTTTGAGACACATTGCGGCTCGCCTCGAAAGTAGACGAGAGTAGCCGATCGCAGCCGGGGGAGGTGTCAAAAAGCTCGTCTTAAGTCGGACAGCTCGGAGTCGGAGTCGGCTTGACTGGCTGGGTTTGCAATGGCGGTAATTGCGTTGGCGTTTTTCGTTGCAGATGAAGTGGATGCAATAGAAATCCCACAATTATTATATCACTACAAATGAATGACTCAAGTGTCAGTTCATTTTGAAACAAATCAGTACAAGGGGGGTTGAATACATGTAAAAGACAGAACCACTTATTACTTTTCAAAACTACTTCCGTCAGTGGTCTTGACAAGTTTGCATTTATAAAGAATGCACAAATGTGTATATTCGTTAATGTCAGATATGTACTAAGTAAATGCATTTGTTCCTGCTCAAGATTAGATTCAACTTTATTGTTATTGCACATATTACAGGTACTGAGACAACGAAATGCAGTTTAGCTTCTAACCAGGTGCAACAAGCAGTAAAGTGAAAAGTAATGTACACAACCTACAGAATAAAAATGAATTGAATGATGAATAAACAGTGAGGGGTATGAATACACTAGATATCAGCCTGTGAGCAGCATGAACAGTGTGTATGAATATGCTAAGATATATAAAGTATGAAAACGGTAAGCAGTATAGTATAAATATATAGATATTAATTTCATGATGATAAACATTGTGGAACAATGATGAAAAATGGGAATGGATGTGGCGACGTAAAACTGACACAAAACAACAACAAACTTTTGCCAGCCAATTGGAGAGTTTCATCAGCAGCACGTGGTAAAAACCACCAATGAGCGCTCAGCTCGAGATACCAGCGAGACGTTTCCCATCAAGCATTTCGCTTCTGCAGCCCGTGGAGAGCAACTGCGCCAACTCGCCTCGCCTCGCTCTCAAGGCTGCGGGCGTCTTTGTCCCGCGAAATTTCAAAGTCTCATGTGGGCGGGCCTCCAGAGCAAGTCGGACAAAATGACTAACCATCATGCAACGCACTAGCAAGACGTTGATCGCAACTGCGCAGGTCTGCGCAGGTCTTGCTTGTCTCAAACAAGCCTAATAATGAGGAAGGGGAGTTCTCACGTGAGTGGGTTGCGTTAAGATAAACAGGCTTCAAAAAAATGCATGCAGTTGAGAACGAATGACCAAGGGATTATTAACATGTTTATTTGGAGCATAGAATAAATATATTACAAACAAAATCAAATGCAACCCAAAAATGTGGTGAGGCTGAACAGCCCACTTAGAATAATTAAATCATTTAGCTCTGATTCACCTTACTTTGAAATGCTCAACCGGAAGTGTATGTTGTTGTGATTGCGCCAACCAAGCAGAGTGATTAGTTTAGTTCTGTTTATAGTTTGTGTTTATGAGCCTCTGGGTGGTTAGTGCCGTTTATTAACCTCACAGTCGGCTGGATACTGCTCCATTCAGCATGATACGTTGGACTAACGCGTGGGTTTAATATGTTTATTTTAGTTTGAGACGCTAACATTAGCTGCTGGCTCTCAGTTAGCATTAGTTATCAGAGCCGTTCACTGACCCTCGGACATATGGACACGTTTTGTTTACGTCTCCAGAGTCCACCGGACAGCTGTAAACTCTAAATAAACTGAAGTAATTCAGCTTGACTGCTGTCTCCAGACATGTCCCAGCCTGCAGACTGTGATGACTCCACTCCCCTGCTCAGGGAGGACGCAGACAGGTGAGTGAATGGCCGTATCTCATTTCTGGAATTTCCCCTCCTCTACTCCTATCCTCGTGTCTTAGGTCGGTTAAAATAAATCCTTGCTTCCCTCACTTGCGGTCGTTTCCCCTGCGTCTAGTCCCTCCCACCAGGGAAGCATGGAGAGACGCAAGGAAAACCACGAGAAGCAGGGAAATTAGGTTTATAAGAGCAATGGGAACGTCCTTTCCTCCGGAGCGTCACGTGAAGCGACGTCCGTTTGTGATGAGCGGCCGCACAGCTGTTCGTCTGACAGCAGTCAACAAGCCTGCTGGGATGAGGCTATGGTCTCAAACAATGAGACCACACCTCATCCCATCTCCTCCTTCCCTCACTCGCTTCCCTTCCTTGCGTCTTAGCTCTCCCGCCTCCGTAAGATGCGAGCGAGAGACACGAGGAGGTGACGCGAGGACAGAGGAGTCCTCAGGTATTAGGCTTGTTTAGACAAGCGAGACCTGCGCAGTTTGCGATCAAACGTCTTGCTAGTGCGTTGGCATGATGGGTTAGATCATTTTGTCCGACTTGCTCTGGAGGCCCGCCTACATGAGACGTTGAAATCTCGCGGGATAAAGACAGCCCGCAGTCTTGAGAGCGATGCGCGGCGAGGGCGAGCACAGTTCCTCTCCACGGGCATGCGGAAGCGAAATGCTTGATGGGAAACGACTCACTGGTTATCTCCAGCTGAGCGCTCATTGGGTGGTTTTACCACGTGCTGGGGATGAAACTCTCCAATTGGCTCGGCAAAAGTTTGTTGTTGTTTTGTGTCAGTTTTACGTCACCACCTCCATTAACATTTTTCATAATTGTTCCACAATGTTTATCATCATGGAATTAATAGCTATATATTTTATACTATACTTGCACTGCTTACCCTTTTTATACTTTATATATCTTAGCATATTCATACACACTGTTCATACTGCTCACAGGCTGCTGTGTATCTAGTGTATTCATAGCCCTCACTGTTTATTCATCATTCAATTCATTCTATATTTTATTCTGTCTATTGTGTACATTACTTTTCACTTCACTGCTTGTTGCACCTGGTTAGAAGCTAAAACTGCATTTCGTTGTCTCAGTACCTGTATATGTGCAATAACAATAAAGTTGAATCTAATCTTGAGGCAGAATAAAATGTATTTACTTAGTACATATCTGACATTAACGATTAAACACATGTGGTCATTCTTTATAAAATGCAAACCGAGTCAAGCCGACTCCGGAGGGTGGCGGTAATACACCTTAAAGTTGTTTGCAATCCGCCAAAAAAACCGAGAGAAGAGAGAAGGAAGAAGACGACTCCCGAGCTGTCCGACTTCAGGCGAGCTTTTTGAGACCTCCCCCGGCTGCGATCGGCTATTCTCGTCTACTTTCGAGGCGAGCCGCAACGCGTCTCAACAAGCCTATTAATTGGATGGCCTCGTTCACAATCAAACGTCACTCTTAAACGACTCTGTTTAATGATGACATGTGGCACAGCTGTATCCCCTCTCATCGGGCCTTAACTGAATAACCCCTTAGAACCCGGCCCATTTGTCGTTAAATATTTATTTAAATGAATGAATCTTTCTCTTGTTAGTCAAGGAATTCAATGTATGATGGTTGGTCCTGCTTTTGTGTTCCGTTTTGGTGTAAAATGTAGCCTACATTTAAATAAATATAGGCTATAATTATAGTAATGTAAAAGCCTTTTAGAAATCAATTGCACATAATAATTCCCACGGAGCTGTGAGCACTTTAGCACTTGTGACGCTTTTCCACTCATCTTCCAGTTGTCGGTTTTCCTCTGTTGAAATCGACCAGCTGTGAAGGTGGGGTCGGGGCTTTATACGCGAGTAGTGAAAACACTTCCGCGTAGTCTGCTCGCGTGTATCCTCCCTTTCGTCTCCTCCCCGTACCCCTCCTCCCTCACCCCTCCTCAGAGGGTTTCAAATGTCCCCTCCTCGACTCCTCGGTCCTCCGGTAGTGACCCGGAAATGAATTTCAGCGCGCCATGTTGAAGGACATCTAATTTCTCTAAATGCACTTCGAGGGACCGAGCATCGAGGAGGCTCTCTGGAGGAGCTCTAACTGAGGAGACACTGATGCATCCTCCACGGCTCCTCCACGGATGCATTTCCGGGAACGGTGGAGGCGTGACGCACGGCCGGACTTATTTCAGCCAATGACAGCTCTACATGCATCCCTTGGATATTACGGCCCGTCTACACTACAGGCATAAAAAAATCTTGAAGCTGGGCGTGTCTGAAGCTTGGCAATTTTTTGCGACCAACAACCAATCACATTGGTTGCCCCCGACATACAAAGCAATAGCAATGTTAAAACGAAGTAAACTGGATATAAAATCCCCAAACAGGCGAAAACCTACCAGTTTCACCCACTGTATCTGCCACCTCCCTCCATGCCTGGTTCCTCCGGTTTGTATCCCGGTAAATCGTTCTGGTCGGAAAGAACCGGGTGATTTGATACCGTAATTTCTCGTTTGGAATATGAGGAAATGAACTGCGGTCTGGCTCTCCCAGCTTGCACGCGGTTTGATTGGCTAGCGATTGGCGGGAATTGCAAAAACGGGATTTGATTGGCTGACGCCAGCTTCGAGCAAGCATCGAGCCTCAAAAGTTGAACACATTGTTCAACTTTTGACGCCGATAGACGCTCGCGATGCTTGCAACGCCGCCTTGCCATGCTACCCACAATGCAGTTCGGCGAAGTTTGAAAATATCCTACGTCACCCCATTCAAATGAATGGGCGAAGCGTTGAAAGCATTTTTTTACGCCTGTAGTGTAGACGGGCCGTTTATAGTAGTAACTGCTTTCATCGCAACGCAATGTTTACAGTGAGAACAGCTGTGAGGTCCGTGCAGAAAGCAGAGCAGTGTGTAAAATATATATCTCTCAGTATAACAGGCCTACATTACTTTCTGTATTTGTATGCTGTAGTTTA